TTTAGCTGGCTTTCTCCCTCCTTGCAGCTTTCCTTTGACAATCCACATTCCTGGCTTCTCTAACCTTCTGGAGTCTCCACTGCACCTTTGGCTTCACACATTACCCTCTCAGGGGCACACTGCCTGGCCTCCCATGTCTTCTTCTGAAATCTGGGTGGAAGCTTTCTTAATCCCACAACTCTTGCATTCTGCATGCACCTAAAATCAGCACCCCATAAATGATGCCAAGGTCAACTGCCAGCTGCAGCAATATCCAGGCTTCCTTCTCTCTTAGCTGTAGGGGTCCAGTGCCAATGAGCCATATCCAAGGAACAACTTCCCTGACCTCTGCCACTGTGGAACCTGGTCACAAATCAAAGTCTTTCACTTTTACAATCTTAAGGCTACAAAGGGTGGAGTCCTGCTGCTTCCTGTGATGTTCTCAGGCCATCTTTTCTATTCTCCAGTTCCTGGTCAGCAATCAAGATCTCCTCTGCTCTATCTTTACAGTCCACAGCTTTATTGGAGCTTCCTTTCTGGCCAAACTCAAAATGTTTTAAATCATTTGGCTGGGCTCTTTGCTTCTGATTCTCAACTTAAATCTGGCTAAAAGCCCCCAACAGTAGCCATGCCGCCACCTCAACATTAGACTGCCTTGAAATTTCTTCTGCCAGATTAATTAATCTGGCACCCTTAATCTCAGTCTCAGGCAAAGTCTCTGGACACAAGCAAAACACAGATAAAATTTTTGCCAAGGCATAACACACATTGTCTGTACTCCAACAGCTGATGCAATACTTCTTCTCTCCTGAAATCTACAAACTCCTGAATTTGGTCTTCACCAGCAGAAGTTCTATCAGTATTGTGATCTTCTGAGGTCTGGCCAGAACTTCCCACCAAGTACAACCTCAGGGGTTCCAGCCCTACTTTTTCAGCCAGCATCTCCAAACCTTTCCTAATTCTTCCCCTTCCCACAAGCCAGCCCCAAAGGCTCCTAAACCACATATTCAGGTACAGTCACAGCAACGGCCCCACTTCTCCGGTACCAAATTCTGTCTTAGTTACTTTGCTCATTGCTGAGACAAAATACCCAACACCCATAGTTAAGGGAGGACAGGGGTACTTAGTTTACAATTTGTAGAAATTTCGGTCCATATTTGCCTTGCTCCAAAGCAGAATGGCACATGGCAGAGGGGCACTGCTGAGGAGAAACAGTTCACTGCAGGGAGAAGACAGCAAAAACAAGCAAGGGTCAACTACAGCTCTTTCTATGCCTTATATCTTATCCATGCTACTTAGGGCAGATATAACTTACACCCTTTACCCTAGTACTCTTGATCATAGTATTGTGCCATGAATCAGTTCCAGCATCAGACATTCTAAATCCAGCTACCTCTAAAAACGCCCCACCTATGACTGCATGAGGCTTTGGGGGGACATCTAGACAAAAACCATAAGAGCAAGTGTAAGTAATGGGAAGGAAAAACTTTTGAGGATGAATATGTACTGATGCTAATCCTCAAATTTTTGTCCAGGTTAAATTCTTCTAAAGGAGGAGTCTCACAGAAATTTCTATGCCCTTGATGAAGGATTAGTTTTTATAAGGGAAAATATCCACAAGGGAAATCACTCAGATCCCCTGTTCTGAGTAGCCATCCCAATTCTGATGGCATGAAACTGATGCATGATGACATCAGATGAGTAACATATGACTAGCATCACTGACTTGAGTTTCCAAGGTTACTGAGAGGAAATAAACCACCATAGAACTGTAGGCAGCTCAAAACAAATATAAAGACTATGTTCATTCTAAATAGGTAGCAATCACCTTGAAGAGTCACTGACCCAACCCCTTACAGGAAAAGCCCCTGTTCTGTATTCATGCCCACTTGCTATGTGACT